TTTTGAGGAGATTGCTGGAGGTGGCACTGATCTCCTCTCTTTGGTGACCAGCAACAGGACATGAGGAAAAAGAATGAAGATGCCTTGGGGTAGTTCAGATTAGACATGAAGAAAAGATTCTCCACACAGAGTGCGGTCAGTCAGTGGAACAGGCTCCCCAGTGAAGTGGTTATGGCACCACACCTGTCAGAGCTCAAGGAGCATCTGAATGCTGATCTTAGTCATATGGTTTAGTTCTAGGTAGTCCTGAGAGGAGCAGGAAGTTGAACTCAATTATTTTTATGGATCCCTTTCAACTTCAGATATTCTGTGATTTTGTGCTGCTATGATTAGTATTTGAAAGTTCAGGAAGTCTTTCAAAAACAGGAAAGTTTTATTAAAAGGAATGTGGTCTTATGTGGCTGATAACCATTGTTATTTTTTAAGCTGAGATATGGTCCATAAAGCGATACAAACCCATACTATGCATTGTACCTACCGTCAATAAAAGTACCATTTTCCACTTAAGGAAAAATCCAGGAACTTAATCACCTTTGTCTCTTACACAAGTTTTATATACAAGAATAATCTGCAGAATCAGGGATCGATTCAAATTGGAAGGGACCTTTCGAGGTCATCTAATCCAATCTCCTGCTCAAAGCAGGACCAATTTGAAAGTCAATCATTGCTCAGCAGTTTGCTCAGATGAATTTTGAATCTCTCTGAGGACAGAGATCCCAGAATCTCACAGAATCACCGGTTACAGTGTTTTTCTACCCTCATAAAAAAGATCTTTTTTATCCTCAGACCGAATTGGAATTTTCCTTATTGCAACATGTGACTGTTGCCTCCAGTTCTTTCTCTGTGCATGTCTGCTGACCTCCATGCTGGCCTTTCAGTGCTGCCAGAGCACACTGCTGACTTAGTCAAGTCACAGAATGACAGTATCATTTAGATTGGAAAGTACCTCTTGAGATCCTCTTGTCAAACTTTCTCTGCTGAAGCAAGTTTAGGTAGAATATGTTGCCAGGAACATGTCTAATCAGGTTTTAAATATCACCAAATCACAGAATATGATGATTTGGCACGTACTTGAAAAAATCATCAAACCCAACCTAGCCCTGCACAGAACCACTCTCAAGAGTCACACTAGGTGCCTGAGTGTATCCAAATGCTTCTTGAACTCTGCCAGGTTTGGTGCTGTGACCACTTCCCCGGGGAGCCTGTTCCAGTATTCTTTGGGTGAAGAACCTTTTTCTAATATCCAATCTAAACCTCCCCAACACAACTTCAGGCCATTCCTTTGGGTCCTGTCCCTGGTCACCACAGAGAAGAGATCAGTGCCTGGCCCTCCTCTTCCCGTCATGAGGAAGTTGTAGACTGTGACGAGGACTCCCCTCAGTCTCCTTTTCTCCAAGATGAACAAACCAAGTGACCTCAGCTGCTCCTCATACAGTTTCCCCTCAAGGCCCTTCACCATTTTCACTGCCCTCCTTTGGACACTCTCTAACAGCTTAACATCTTTCCTGTATTGTGGTGCCCAAAACTGCACACAGTATTCAAGGTGAGGCTGCACCAGTGCAGAGCAGAGCGGGAAAATCTCTTCCCTCAACCGGCTGGCGATGCTTTGCCTGGTGCCTCCCAGGACAGGGTTGGCCCTCCTGGCTGCCAGGGCACTGCTGACTCATATTCAACTTGCCCTTGAGCAGGACCCCCAGGTCCCCTTCCTGGCACTGCTTTCCAGCATCTCATTCCCCAGTCTTTCTGTACATCCTGGGTTGCCCCATCCCAGGTAGAGAATCTGGCACTTTCGCTTGTTGAACTTCATATGGTTGGTGATTGTTCAGTCCTCTAATTTGTCAAGGACTCTCTGCAGGGCCTCTCTGCTTTCAAAGGAGTCCACAGATCCTCCAAGTTTTGTGTCATCCACAAATGTTTAGCATACCTTCCAGTCCTGCATCCGAGTCATTTATGAAGCTGTTGAGGAGCACAGGGCCTAAGATGGAGCCCCGCAGAACCCTACTAGTGACAGGTCCGCAGTCTGATGCAACCCCATTCACTATTACTCTCTGTGCTCAATCCGTGAGCCAACTAGTCACCCACTGCATGATGTATTTATCCAGCTATGTGCTGGACCTTTTGTTCAGAAGGATTACCTTGTGTTGCCTTGCCATGGAAGGAAATCAGGTTTGATAAGCAGGACTTTGCTCTCGTGAAGCCATCTAAGGGTGGACACTCCACAACCTCTCTGGGCAACCAGTGTCTCCAGAGTCAGTGACTCTCACCATAAATAAGTGTTTCCTCATGATAAGATGAAATATACGTTTTGTGTCCATTGTTTTTTGCCCTTTCACTGGGCCCTACTGATATAAGTCTGGCTCCTTTGTCTTCATTCCCTCCCACAAGGTATTTATGCCTGACACTTAGGTACTTATAACTGTATGTTTCCCACTGGAGAGTCTTCTCAGGTGCAAGAGGTTGCATTTGCTTCTGTTGGATTTATATGAAACTTCAGTTGACCTACTCCTCCCTTGTCAACCCATATATACATGCAAAAGATTTGCAACTGACTGAAGCATTAAGTCAATTTCTTGCAGGTCACTTTCATAGTCTTGCTGTTTGAAGAACTTCACTTAGCTATGTTAGATCAAAGGGACTTCATGTAAAATGCAGTAGAAGTGATTTTACAGGCTTTTATGATTTAAAACCAGAAGTAGATATAGAAGCCTGTTCAGACAGCCCGCACTGCTATATAAATCTAAACTGTGTGCAGGCAGAGTCTGAAGCAAAAGTGGACACAAAAAAGTATATATTTTTCAGTCCATAAACACTAATCTCTCATTCTTATGTAATTAAAAGTTGTTCTTTTGGTAGGAACCTGGGTTATCACTATTCTTGGCAAATGTTAATAAAAAATTTTGAGCTTTTGTTCCTATAGAGTGGCCTTAGCTGGTAAACTCTCTCTTATGAAAAATTAATTATCATGTGAGTCAGTAGAGATGGCCCTAGGATATGCCTCTTCAGTGGCATATCAGCAATCATCACTGATAACTACATTTTCAGGTGTTCATAAAATGTGACAGGATTTTTCTTTGAAGCAAAGTGAAACTCACCAGCTTAAACAAGGAAAAGAGAAGTCTTTCTAAATTCTATGAAAATAGGAAATATGGCCGCACCAAATAGATGATTAGAATATTAATCTAATACTTGTATTTAAATCTAATACTTGTACTACTAGACTTAACACAAAGTTTGCCGGGTCTAATTTTAATATTTTAATAATTTTAATATTTTAATTGTATTAGTATGCTATTTTTTGTGGGTTTAGAAGGTCTTTCTAAAACATTTAGAAAACAGAGATAATCATGAGCGCAATTTACAGTGGTTAATACAAGATTGAGTTATGATATATTTGATTTCATACAAAGATAGCAAAATACTGCAATGGCTTCTGTCTTAATAGCTTAAACTAAGAAAGCTTTCAAATTTAATTAAAAACTCCACTATAAAATACTATTGTTTTTTGCAAGGGATTTTTTCTTATTTTTAGAAAAATTGTTGGATATTTAAGACCCCCCTATGTTGTTCATCCTATCAAATTTAACAGCAAGATTTCCAGATACTGCTGTTTCTTCATGCTCTCTTTTCCATGAAGCTCATCTGGACCAATGCAGACATTTACAGTACAGATCACTACAGCTGGACTAGTTAAAGAAACTCCCCTTCATTTGATTCACCAGTGAAAATATAGGCTTTTTTACTCTTCTGTTATATTTTAGACATTGACTTCAGGATGAGATGAATCACAACACAGAAATGCTTAGTTTTTTCTCCACTGACTATTAGGAGACTCTAAGCTCAATGGTAGATAGCCGCACTTTAGTCATAGTTACATGAGATTGGTCCTACGCCTTTTGTCTGCAATCTTACTTAAAATGTAAATTTTTCAGGTGATGCCAACCACCATGACTCCTCATCACTACTGTAGCAAAAAAAAAAAAAAAAATTATTTCCAAAATTAAATTGCTAAGCATACATAGCATAAGAAATATCCAAAACTTCCCCTAAAAACTTAACCTTGAATTAAAGGAACGGGCTTTGAGAAAAATTGTTGTTGCTACCATCTAGTTACATTCAATGAATTTTAGGCCATCTGTTTTTGGCAAAGGCTCCCAGAGTTCATTCCAGTTCTGAGATCATGAGAGCATCAGAATTTTATCCCAAGTCTTTCCAGTTAAATTGCCTTTTTGGAGCATCAGCAGGTTTCATGACCAACAGATAAGCGGCAGCCTCTGTGATAGGTGGAAGCCTTTCTGCACTCAATCCGTAAGGAAAGACAAGCACAAGGATTTCTTCTAAATGACGAATAAAATCTAAGCATTCACTTCTAAACAAGAAGTTTTTCTTGTTTAAGAGATATACTACCATGTATTTGAGAAGTACATCAAGTGACTTGTGTGTCCATTTCAGGAGCTACAGCAATAAACTACTACGGAGATGACATAAGACATAGAGATTAGCCACCTCATCCTCATGGAGTAAAGAACCCACTCGGAAACAACGGTAAGCATACCTCACTACTGCAGTCAAATAACAGGAAATGTCTACAAATAGCTATGGTCATTAGCAATAGCTTTGTAGTTTGGGAAGTCTTGATAGCTTTACTATATAACACCAACGTGTAGTTCTTCAGCCATGAACTTACAAAGACCAAGCAGGGAAGACTTGCGTGCTGATACGCTGGTTTTCTTCTCCTGTCCCCATCTTGCCTCTTGTACTAAAGGAAATAACCGGTACAAAGATGGAGGCAGTACCATCAAAAGCCTCTTTATACAGGACTTAGATAACCTTATCCAGTTGCTTCAAGCTGCTTAAATCAGCTCTCAGCAGAAAGGAGACTCTAGTCAGGTCATTTACTTCCCCTGGCCGCATGAAAGACCCAGTTGTCATTTGACTCCTAGAGAATAATTATAATAATTATGCATTTCATTTCCAAACATACATAATAAGTTTGGGTTTACCTGAGTCTTCCATCCTCTGCTGCAGCTCCTCCTGGTATAATCTTAGTAATGAATATCCCAGGATCATCCCCAATGTGTGGGTTATCCGTTCCTCCAGCAATACTGAACCCCAGGCCGGAATTCCCCTGGAAAAATAATAAAAAGTAAATCCATCACCCAGATGCTAGATTTCTACAGAATTCATTTGCAGGGCACAGGCAAAGTATCCTTGCTTCTTAAAGAAAGCACTTTATTTAGCAACTCCATACTTGAAGGCAGGTGACTCAGTCAGAAAAATTAATTGTCGGTTAAAGAACAGAGGCTGTGAACACAAAGATTTCCCAGAGTTAATGACAGAGTTAATTGGTACTCCTAGAGAAACAGGATTTGACCTAAATTTGTTTTCAAAAGCAGTCACATAAATTAGCATCTGAACTCCAATATTAATTCACCCAAGTCAATGAAAGCTAGAGGCTAAAAACACTTCAGAGCTTTGAAAAAACACTTTTCAAACCACCATAATTTATAAACAGAAACAGTGAAAACCATTTAACTCTGAAGTATTTTAATACACTAGTTTCTGCTGAAAAGTGATCATTGCTCAGATTCACACGCTTTAAAAACAAATTAAAAAAACCAAACCCAAAATCCACAAAAAAGACTATTTCTTTCATCTTAGTGATCTGCTAGAATAAAATGTTTGAAAGAAATTATGACAGTCTACTCAACGATCCTAATTATTGCTTCTACTATTTGTGGAAATATCATGAAAGATAAATGGGCATGTGTACACACATATACATTTAGAAACTAAGTCACCCTTTTTCACATACAATTCAAACCGACAATTCTAATTCTTTTTTGGAAGTATACATTGGTTACTATCCTTTTCTGTATAAGTCAACATTACGTATGTATTATTTATTAGTTGTTTTCTGTATAAATTATTTTCCAAGAAGAAATAAATTCTTTTTATTTTTCTCCCTTATTTATTGAAAGGCAGATGCAGGTTTAAGAACCCTCTATGCATAGCAGGTGTCATAAAATTCAATCCAATATTTGATTCTTTAAATCTCTCTCTACCAAAAGTATTTGTATAGTTGGGTATTTAGGCTTATCACAGTCATGTAACTATATATATATATATATATTGCAGAATATGTACACTATTGCAAATTAAATATATTCAGGGCACTAAAATACTTCTACTTCACCAGCTTCTCAGATTATTGGAAGTTCATTTCTTCCACTGCTGCTTGTAGTCAGGTACCTAATTCTGTTCTAGTAAGAAAAGTTATTAATAAAAATGGCATCTTCATACTTTTTTTTCTAAATAATTTAAATCAAATCTCATATCTGCATTTTTTAACTGTACTTCAATTAGTAGATCAGACACGCATTTTGAGTTTGAAAGCCCATATGTTACCTGCCTGCAACATGTCGAATTCTCTGTTATCAGTATTCTACATTCACAAGAGATGCAGTTCTCATTACTAAAGAGATAGACATGCAATCTTCAGCTGCAGATTATAAACTATCATCATATAATTGTGAACTAATTTATAATCCAAGGAAATTGATTTAGGGCTACACATATCTTAATATTTCTCATCTATCTATAATAAGAAAAACATTACAGTGCTGAAACACTGTGTATATTTTCTGTACAGTTAGTAAACACCTCCAGGCCAGCATTATAAATCTTTGATTTAATCTCCCTTTCATCATTAGTATCATCTCAGATTCAGGTTATTCTCCCAATATTTTAACACATGCCTAATTACACAGAACACTCTACAGAAATATACACTCTATAAATAAGAATATTTTCCTCACAACTTTTCTATATATCATATTATTAATTAAGATAATTGTCTAACATATAGGAAGGAAAAAAGACTACTCATACACACTTCAGGAAGTTTGGAATAAAAGCTTTAAAACACTAGTAAATCAAAGGCAAATTTCTAGAAAATTTGAGTAATATTTGATTTCCAAGAAGAAAAAACAACAAACGTCTAAAAATAAAATAAAATTGTTGTGTTTTTTCTTAACTTCAGAGATTTCAAAAATATGCAGAAATCTGCGTTTCTGAAGAGAGGTAGATTTCCAAATCCCCAAAATCTACTTTAGGGATAGGGGAGGAGAAACAGCAGGATAGCAAAGAAAAATCTGGGTGTAATTATTAGCACAAAACACAAACAGCCATATTGTAATATAAAACGGGTGCCTGAAGAGCTTTAAAAACAATCAAATCCTGCCTGTTATGTGGGGCATGCTTAGCTGTTACAGTTCATCACATAAAATTCATTAGATTTTTTAGCAGGAAATAATTTCTGAAAAGGTTTCACACTTTCCCTGCACTGTTTTCCTCCTACCATATTTTTTTCCATTAACATTTTAGAGCTAAAAAATATAGTGATACTGACTGTAAGCAATGATGTGATAAAACTGCTACAGGCTGCTCAGGAGAATCAGTGCTAGCCTTGATATTTATCCATAAATGTGTATCTGTTACACTGCAAGACTATTCCAATTCTGTCCCTTAGGAGTAACCTTTAAAAAGAATAGGGCAGTACTCCTCACTGCCACTTCAGTATCCAGAAAATTTCAAGCAATTCTTCTGGCTGCAGTCCTTGACTTGATCAACGGGATCTACAAGCTGTCAGGCACTAGCTGCCTCAGCAGCTAGGTATATCTCTTCAAGGCTTCCCTGCACCAGAAACTGTGCTGCAAAAGCTAAGCAATTACACTTTTTTTTTTTTTTTCACTGTGGTTCTTGAAGGGTCTGCACTGCCTACATGGAAAAATCTTCTGTCTTTGTATTTCAGATCAAGGCAAACAAGGCTAAAAGCATAGCTACAATCACTCGTGGGTAAATTGGCCTTTTAAGAACCTTGGGTTGAAAAATAATGCGATGGGAATATTGTGGTTAAAAGCTACTGTATTTCAGTTCCGAGCAGCAATACTGATGTGCTGATCTCTCCTCTTCCCCCATGCTTTCCTCCATGCTCTGCATCTAGTGTGCAGGTTCACCAGCAGATGGTTGCTGTATTAAAAACTTAGTTTGTAGTTGTCAAGCTGTAATTTTAAATTCCAAATAAGTACTGCCTACCACTGCAATGCTTCCTGAACATTTCTGCAAGGATTGGCTCCCCATCCTTTACTTTTTGCACCGCCTTTGTCCTGATCCCAGAAAAAAAGAGTGTGGCAATTATCTTCACAGCTTTTCTTGGCATATCTGTGCCCCTCCCATTTCATCTTAACCAATAAAAATGCTGTCCTTCAGTCCAAAAGAATAACTGAACCATCACTTAGCCATGGCATTTTCCAAGGTGGAATATTCACGCTTTCCCTCACGCTGATTCATGTTTGGGAGTGGTTCCCCATAAATATCTGTCAAGTTAATTCACTGTCCTCTTTCTATTCCAAGCTTTAAATCTCTTGGATGCTTACAAAGCAAGTTAACAATGAGCTCAGAGGCCTGTTGACAATGCAGATAAATGCTCAATAAGAACTAATAGCAGCTGATACAGAGAAGAGATGACAAGCAACAGAAGTCTTTCTCCTTTAGAATACTCAATAAACCTTTTTTAATTGAGATTCATATTTAGGCCTAAATATGCTTGTCTGTTTTGTTTCAGGATTCTTCAGTAGAATTGTCTATGCAAAAATCCCAAAGCATGCATAGGGGACAAAAAAACTTGAAGAAGTCTCAGATCTACAAACTTTATTATTCACATGTCAAATATATAATCTATATAATTTTGTTATTCTTTATAAGGATTCATATATGAATAATTTTTTGTTCAATTCTAATTAGCTAAATTATCTCTTGACCTAAATCTTTCCATGTCTTTGTCCAAGCTATCAATTTCTACTACTAAAAAACCCTCATATAATTAGTTACTGACTATATAAGGAAGATTTGCATAAAATTGCACAGCAATAGATAAATGAATGTACTTTTTAATTGTTAGTTTAGTTTCTTACTAGCTTCCACGCCTTTTGTTGCAAGGCTCCAGTCATGCACACAGCCTGACAAAAGGTTTCGTGTAGCACAACATGCCCAGTTTGACTTAAGAAAATACATTGCCTCAGTTTCCTCCTATTCATGCTGGATACCTCATGCTTCTCAGAGATTTATCATCAAGCTCAAATTTCTCTCTTGGCTCAGCTTTACTTTTCAAACGTAGAAAATTAGGTCAAACTACCACAACAAAACAATTTCTCAGAGCCCAACCCTTGAGGCCACCTTCCTGCTCTCCTCTGAAGGGAAGGTCAGCATTTCTTCCTAAGGTTTACAGCACCAGCCTGCCTCCTTTAAGACTTTCTCAAATGGGGCTTTACATCTACACAAGGACCGGCTGAGTTCTTTATAGCTCAGCCTGAGCAAGGAACAGACCTGGCTGTAATTCTCCCGGCCTGGGGGGGGGGTCAGACAAGCTCAGACAGAGAGAGATATGATATGACAGCAGATGACTGCTGCTATACCTTCCTCCAAAACTGAAACACAATACTTGGGGTAAGAATACTGGATGACTCACAACTAGGGAAAGAAAATAAACTTTGAAAGTTGTGGTCAGTTTGAATCTCTTCCCTCAACACTGTTATGCTTCCAAATAAGGGTCACAAAATAAAGTAAGAATCCCCAGCAGGTACTAGTTTTGGGTAGCCAGAAGGTCATGAGACCCATCTTTTTCTTGCTTAGGCTTTCATCTTATGTTTTTTTCCCTTTTACACACCTCTATGTGCAGCAATATATCAAGCTGAAACTTCATAAGGCTGCAGCATTTTTATTTTGTTAAAGAGTAATGCTCAGAAGTGCTCCACACTGACTTCTATGGAAAGAGTATACATCAAGAGCTTCTGAAGTTATTTTCCCATGACATTGCAGCTTTCCATGGAAGGTAGCCTCCTGTACACTTCTACAAATGATTTCCTCCTTATTGTGTCTCATTTGTCTTTTTTTTTTAGGGTTGCATTTTCCTTAGAACATATTTTGATTATGCATGATAGAAAGTAATTCAGTCTTTAAAAAAATCACAGAAGAACGTTAGTCCAAGAAGCAGAAATGAGATCATAAATGCACATCAAAAGCAGACTAAATAGTTCCCTGCATGAGGGCCAAGTGATTTGTATTTTA